GGGTGATAACGAAAACAGGGAAATTCCGAAACTGACGAATTACTACTAAATTAGACATTAGTTTTATTAGTAACTCTAAATAGAGTTGGCATTTTTTTTTGAATAGATGAAATTACTTAAGACTGTATAGAACAAACCAATTGATTGAAATTTCCCTGCATTCGTGAGTACCCCAAAGCACCTTAGCGTAATTTAGGAGAGGGTGTAAAGTCACCTTAAAACGCCACACAAAGTCATATAACAGCAAAAAGAACGCTCCGTAGCGATAACTTTTCCATAGATAAAGAAAAGTAAAAGTAAGTGCCATACAGATTTTTTAATTAAAAAAAATATATATAACGATTTCGGTGCAAATGAAAGTTTCAGCGATATTATTTAAACTATAATATCACTAGACTTTCTGTCAGTAAAAGACTTCACGATCGCATCGATCAATCCTGATCTGTGTCTCTACTGGAAACTTATCTTTATTTTTCAGTGTAGCGATGAAATATATATTTTGCTACCATCTACAGATATTTTCTGGTGTTCTACTCGAGTTTCATTGTTACTGGTAGCCATTAATTTGGGCTTGTCAACGATCAAGAAGTTTTAGAAGTTATAACTTCGACCAACCACTTCTTAGCCATCACTTTTCAAGGTCTACCGAAATTTGTTTATAGCTTTTGGGTCGAAATAAAAGCGGTAGCGACGTTATATTTTCGTTATGAAAAGAAACTACTACTTTGTCCTCAAATTAGTTAGCTGTGTTACACGATAAGTGTCTGAATCGTGCTCATATTTTCCCACGGTATATTATCTTAATTAGAACGTGTTTATCAAAACCTAACTTTATTTATTATATTTAATATTGTAATAGAAATAAAACCTTTATTACCTTTTGAAGAAGGTTGTATTTAATTAAACTTCTATCCTATGACAGCGTTACGCTTGACGTGAAGTTAGAGTCTATTTTTTTATAATAGGCGATTTGGCGATTATGGAAAATTTACCAACATTAATATACACACAAACTTACTCAGTGAGAACTAAATGACACATGTGAAAGCATTAAACGAAAATACTTATAAAGAGATATTATTTTATTATAGTTATAAAATAACTCGAGTGTATGAGTATTACACTTACACAGATTACCCTTACACAGATATATATCACAACTAAATAGCAATATTTTGAAAGTAGTCAGTAAGAATGTTGTTGGTAGTACGCCACATTGGAAGTAATTTCGAATTACTATTAGTCTTAAGGTTTTTGGCCTAAATTTCATCACTTACGCCAACGCAATATGGCGCCTATCACAGCTATAAAATATATACGTGGCTTCTTTATTTTTACAATCAATCGTTATTATCGAAACCTTTACAACCTGCATGCTTTATTACTGGACTTTCGAAGGAAAAAAGAACGAATGTATAGTCGGTAACATGTTAATTTCGTCTATAAAAATGAAATATTCTAAAATTGTCCGACATGTAGCATCAGCTTTATTAGGGCCCCGTTTCTTCGTGGCAGTTTTTGATGTTTCAATAAACTTTTGAATGACTAAGAGTGGTGGTGATGCGGTTTAAAGGTTTTTTGTGACGTGCCTATCTATCTCATAAAATAGTGATTTATATGATATCCGCTGTTACCCGCTGCTTTCCTCGCGTGATCAAACAAAACGAGATTTATGTATTTTTTGCGATTAAAAGTAGTGTATCACTCTGCAGCCTTGCAATCATTTTAACAAAAAAAAAACATACTATTACAATGCTCTTATGCGACGCTTTTTCTTTACCCCATTTCTAATTAGAGTGCAGATGCAGATCAAATTAATCATCTTTCAAATCGTAATCTTTTATTCAGTCTAGGCTTACACATAGCACTCGTGAAAGTCGAAAACTTCACTAACGGTTCGCAAAACTACGGTGGGAGACTTAGTAATCAGGATCATAAACCAAACGCACTAATCATTGTGACATCAAGCTTCTCATTTTTCTTCATTTCTAGTACAAGTAAGATTATATATCGGCAAACTATTTTTGTTAGCCTCCAATCCGCATTGGGCCAGCGTAGAGGGTCATGGCCAATCCTCCTTAACCATCCATAAGGAAGGCCTGAGCCCCTGCAGTGGGGACGTAAAAGGGCTGGTGATGAGACTATTTTTGTTGGTAATTGGTATCCAGCTGGACCGGCACAAAACGTGACAAACCTCTGCAAATGTGGTCTTCTCTCCTAATTTTATTTCATACTAGCTATTTTCCCGCGACTTCAATCACGTAAATTATAGTCTATATGAACCGCGTATGATCTAGCTTCCTGTAGGTGAAAAAAATATTAAAATCGGTTCAGTAGGTTCGGAGATTATTCATGCAAACTTCTTTATAATATTTGTGTTATAAGACTGTGACGCCATTTTCCATTACAATATTAAACTTCACAATAACAAATAATTAATTCGTTAATTAATTAATAAGCTATGTCATACATAGATGTAAATTAAATCGTGACGCCACTGAATGATGTCATACTATAACACTATATATTACATTATCGTTTGATTCAGGATCTTAAATCTAATTACATATTAAACTCGGTAAAGAGATCTTTAATATGCAACCATATTTAGACGACGTGGTTCTTTTTACACTTAAGGCACGATGTGAGGTTGACGTGAAATATTCTTATTCTAATAATATGGTTGTGAATTGAAGAAATGAATATGTTTATATATAAATGTCAAGACTTTATTATTAACTAGCTTCGCCAGCGGCTTCACCCACGTGGTCCCTAGGAAAATGTTTAATGGGATAAAAGTATCATATTATCTAAGTCAGCTATCTGTATACCAAATTTCATCAAAATCCGTTCAGTAGTTTCGGCATGATTGACGGACAAACATCCAAACAAAGTAACTTTCAAATTTATAATATTAGTAGGATAGTAATCAGAATTCCTTTTAACATGTTCTTTTTGCAGCTATTCCGATTGAAATAAATATTTTCTACCACTTTAAAAAATAAAATTAAAATTGTTCGTCAGTATTGGGACCATTTTGATAATATTCTTTACTATATGTATAGGGCCATCCTTGAATTAGGTCGATCGAAATCTGTCCAGGTATATCGCGATAAACCTCCATTTCTTGATTTGGCCAGAAAAATGACTATCGCCCCAGTTAAAAGTTTAGCAGATCGACGATAAAATAAAGGTGATCGACGCTGAGTTGTGAAAATATTATAATTAAGAAATATACGAGCCTCAGAATGTACTTTGATTTATGAGACGTAGTTCAGAATGTACTTTGATTTATTAAAATAATTTAGAAACGCTGAACATTTTTTATTTGAATAGTAAAAATCAATTATAATAGCCTTTTTATTTGCTTACATACAGAGATGGTTGGTAGGAGAAAACCCGAATTGCTGCCCATCTCTCCTTACATAGTACTTTGATCACCCAACAAAATAGATTGGCCTGAGTATAGTTGGACAAATCGACAAACCTTAAACATTTAACGATACGACGGATGATAGATGACGAATTCTAGAAATCTCGGGCAGATCTCGATCGACCCAATTCAATTATCTACCCACAATATATTTAATTACAACGTGATGTCTGGATGAATAGTTACATATCTATCGGGATTTTTTTATTGCGTCTCGGAAACTCAATAAAGAATTTCTTCTAAATTCTTTTCTTCTAAATGTCATCAACAAATATATCTAAACAATTCTCAGACGGAAGTCCAGAAGAATACCAATGATACCGTTTCTCAAACACTCAAAAAAGCCTGATAAAAAATGACCCTCGCATTTAAATCATTCAAACAGTCTAATATTTAATTATGAATTTAATAATTAGTCCGTTTCGCATCGGCGCTCTTTTTAACTTACAATCCGCCACCCAAGTATGTTGGGGCGAGAACATAATAAATTTAAACTATTGACTTTGTTAAAAAAACTACGTAAGGGTTGGTCACGATCGCATTTAAGTTTAGCGACTTAAAATCGAAATTCGCTTGCGTCGCTTTACTTTGGGACGGTCGTCCATTACGCTATATCGTTTAGATCAAAAAATATGTCCAATTATCGGTACATTTATCATACTATGTTATTTGTTTTGACATCCATGTAAGTGACCAGTCGGTAATTGAAAGCGGCTAAGGCTGCTTCCGCTGGTTTTATATATATAAAAAAATACTGATATCTGCTGCGCAGTGACAAGTAGGGTCAATTAATTTCTTTTTAAGTAATTTAGTGGATGTTTTTTCTTTACAAATAAAATATGGCTGATGGCCTTCTATTACTTCATTTCTATCTTGATAGATCAAATGTAGATTGTTATTATTTTTTAACTATCCATTAAACTGTATCAAAATGATATTCTTTAATTAAAGCAGTGGACTGAGTTTCCTAAATAAAAATTTTTGAAGCTAGATTGTGTCTATTGTATACCTATATCTTGTATTTTATATTTAATGGAACAAAACGAAATTATTTCTAAACATTTATCCAATGGGAGTGGAATTATTGAATTGTATTTGGCAATAGGAAATAATTGGCATTGCTGCAGAATACAATAAGTTGGCTCATGGCGTTATAATATAACGTTAATTATTTATATCTCGGAAACATAATACCTTGGGAGATTTTCTCTTATAATTTAATTTCTATTAATGTCAGCTATTAATTTGGTAGCAAATAGATCTTGCATTTCAAGTTTCAAATGTTTCGAAATATTTAACATAAAGTAAAAATAAAAAGGAATAGAAATACGTGTGATGTAAATAGGATTGAGGGTAGTTAAATGGAAGATAATACAATACTATTAATTTAGCTAGGAATTTCATCGGCAAACGATTTCTCTTTCGTTCACCTAAATTTATATTTTAAGTTCCTGGTATAGATATAATTTTCGGTGTGACAATTCACAATTGATAATTATTCATGCTTATAACATTTGTTTACTTTATTTGCAAAAAAATGGTTCTTTTAATATCGCTGTCTTCGCAGTAGAAGCATCTCAGGGAGCGTTTCCTCCGATTAACGAAGCTGTGACCGCGCCAACCGCAAGCTTGCAGTCCAGTACAACCGGTCAGATGATTAGTCTACCGATTTCCGTCTTCCCGCTATTTGCGACTGAAAAACTGGGATGTGGCTTCATGGATTTAGCTCAGTAATTTAGGGAAGTAAGGATCACCTACTGTACCTCAATAGTTTTTTTCGTGCCGTTGTGTCGGTTGATCTAAAACCAAGTTAAATAAATCTATTGGAGGTGAAACACTTTTGAACGCTACTAATAACTTATTATCTGATCTAATTTATGGATTAGCGCCATAATAAAAAGAAAATACCTGTATTAATTAAATATAATTAAATGAAATCGGACAAATACGAGACGGACTGGCACACGAAGGGTTCCATACCTACACCTTTTTTATTTTGTTTTAGTATTTGTTGTTAAAGTGGCAACAGATATACATCATCTATGCAATTTTCAATTGTTTAATTATCATGGTTCATGAAATATAGCTTGATAAGGGGACATTGGAGTTTTAGTAATAGAGTCCCGTTTTTACTCTTTGGGTAAGGAACTCTAAAATAGACAGCATATGGCTTACGAAAACACATATAACGAGCCAACAGATTTTTAGTGACGTCACAACACGAGTGTTTCCACAATCAACACACCCCATGACGTTAAGGGCCTTTGACAGTTTGGCAGGTAACAGCAGTCCACTGAATAATAACGAATAATGAGTAGTTCCATACTTGAAAAGTGTAGCGATAAAAACAAAAGAGCGTCGTGTTTGAAAGCTATTATGAAATTGCTAGAAAATAAATTGTAATTTTTAGATATAAATGTTTTATGTTCGGAAAGAATTTTTCAGTAGGTACCAGCTACTCACATAGTTATATATATATATATATATATATATATATATATATATATATATATATAACATTATTTTAAAATGAAAAATTCGTTTGTTTGTATCAAATAGGTTTGTATAAAATGTTCCACCTACGGGAAGCTACAAAATACGCGGGTATCAAGGCTATATATAGTTTACGCATGCGGAGAAGCGCCAAAACAGCTAGTGATAACGAAAAAAAATATTAATATCAACAGTATAATATACTAGTTGATCTGATTAAGTTCATGCTAGTGAATATATGTAGTTTTACCATATCTGAGTTACCACTTCATGCTCGACCGTCCTAAAAAGTTCTTAGACAAGAGGAATCAGATTCCGTACCTTCAACCTCTATAGCCAAATGGCGTGCACACCGGCTTTAAAATTTCGCTATTTCCGAGGTGTCGGTTTCGATTTCCAGTCTTTCTTTCCAGTTTCGATTTCAGATTTCCAGATTTAGTTATTAAGCTTGGAATCTGAGATCTTGTATTATCTAAAGCATATCACCGTTACAAAATTTCATTAGTGTCACATATATACATATTATTAATTATTAGATATTTTTCCGTGACATCGCCTATGTTACCTAATCGTTTATAATGTAGCTACCCGCAGGTGAAAGAATTTTAAAAATCAGTCCTGTAGTTTCGGAACCTATTCGTTGTAAACATATGTTTTCCCTTTTTAATATTAGTAAGTATATCTATACTTACGTACTATATGTACTTTACCTAAAGTACGAAGTTTGCAAGGTCTACTACTATTCTATAAGTTATTTATTTTAATTAGATTTTAACAAAAAACTGTATGAAAAACACAAATAAACACTCATTAAATAAGTCAAGAATATAATGTTACATGTAAAGTTTATCTTGAAATACTTTACAACCAAAAGGAATGTGATAAACAATGTCGATTTTACGCCCCCCGCTGTTTAATAACGTTATTACGAAACCATTACTCATGAATTAAATGTCTTGGAACTTAAAAAAGTAGGTAGGTATTTACTTACGCAGGTAACTCTTATCGACACCATATCTAACTTAGGCAATTAAAACTACCATATAAGTGTTTAAAACAATTTTACATGGAAACTTATTAAGTTTCCCGCGATAATGCGGATCCATTTATTTTTAAATTTACTGTTTTCTGTGCAGGCACCACGTGAACTAATATTATAAATGGGGATGTTTGTTAGTTTCTCTTTTTTCCCGTCGTGACGATGTATTTTATTTATGTATTTTATGGGTAGGTTGCTCCATAGCAACCTACAGATAATCTAGATCCATGTCTAAACAGTCATAAAGACTGATTTCATTTCGCTTGGTCCGTTGAGCAAAATGTACATTTCAATAGTAGTAGTAATTTTCGTCCATGGGTAAGGCGAAGGAACAAAGCTATACAGCCAAATCTTGGGTTATTACATTCTTTATCACAAAGGTCCAAAGAGACTTTAAATAGTCTAGTTCTTATAACCATTTGTAAATAAGTATCGTAATTCTTATTTTTTAATAATTCTTCGCTACTATAGAGGCTAATAACAAGTTCTGGCGATTAATACGATACTAACTATTAAGTTTTCATGAATTTGAAAAAATTATATGCTCTGTAATTTAATAAAGAGGATTTGTTTTCTTTTTTGTTTGCATTGAATAAGGTTTAAAAGTTGTAATATTACAACTATAAGTCGGCTGCACTTCTTTCTAAGTATTTTGAATGCCAAAAAAGTTATGAAGTTATCAATAATTTGTCATTTTTGGCTTAAAAAATAAATATTGAAGCAAATTTTGTAAAATTTGGATAGGATCTCTTTTTGTATGTGTATCAAAAATCAATCTCCTTTTGACGAAAATATTAAAACTGATTCGATTGGCAATCTTGTCCTATTGTGCACTCTGTTGAAAACCTTTGTGTTGTCCACAGAAATCCTCCATAGAGGCGACCTGTCATCTTCAATGGAATCATTAGCGTACGAGTCATCGGTTGCGTCACCGGGCAGTGTATCCAGTCACACGCAACGCACAAAGCGCATGCGCACCAGTTTCAAGCATCACCAGTTGCGCACAATGAAGTCTTACTTTGCCATCAACCAGAATCCCGATGCAAAAGATTTGAAGCAGCTCGCACAGAAGACTGGCCTGTCCAAAAGAGTTTTGCAGGTCTGTAGACTGCATGGCATAAAAATAATAATTGTTTGTATTGTCAAGGAACGGGAATCGTAATATCGCAGTATCCGATCGACACCTACTGATCATCGTTTGATTGCTAATGTAAATCAACTATTGAATGAGCAATTAAATTAGAACACTTAGAAAAAAATTTCTATAACAATTCTGAGCTGAGAATGTTTTTATTGTCCCCAGGTTTGGTTCCAGAATGCGCGAGCAAAATGGCGGCGCAATATAATGAGACAGGAGTCAAATGGGAATCCGAGCCATTCTAGTAACGGAACGATTGTCCCGAATCCGGCGTCAAGCGTGGGTACAGGCGCAATGCTGCTATCGGAACCTCTACAGATGGACGATATTAGAGTGACCACACCACATCCTCACCCTATGACTTTCAACGAACTGTACTGACGGACCAATAATGAATTCAAAAAAGCAATGCCATTAATACTGTTCCAATTTTAGTATGTCCAAACAGTTCTGTCCACAAAACTATCGTTATAATTATTATCTTTTAAACATAATGGATTTAATAATAGTTTTCATTAACGTGCAGAGTGTTTTAAGACGAAGGTCTATACGTACAACATAAGAACGCGGGTGAAGCCACCGGCAGAAAGCTTGTCTATTAATACAACCAAAAGTGATAAAAGAAGCAATAGAATACTCACAAACATTATTTACAGTTTCGCAGATAACAGCAAAAAATTAAGTGAATGAAATTTATCAAAGAATTAATCTTGGCATAACCTACACTATGTTCAACTTAATTGCAAGGTTCAGGAAAAAATTAAAGCAGTAGGTCTTCCTTCGCGTTAAATTTTCGTGATTGGCGAAATAATATTTGCCGAAAACTAAGCTGGAAATATGGCCGTTCTTACCGCTGTCCGAGGCTTGGTTACTATTTTAGACTTAGCTGTAAGTAAGCATGGACTTTTATTCATGCATGTTTTATAAACGATTTATGCTTGTTTTACAAAAAAATAATACGAGGAATAGAATCAAACTTTGAAGAGCAGTTTCTTTTTTAAAGAAATTATTGATAAATATAATTAGTTAAGTATTTGTTATGGTTGTATTTAAACAGAACCAAAAGTACAGTTTCCGAAAAAAATAATATTATGTAGGTATACGTTTTACTTACAGTCTACGTCATAAGCTTCATTAGATATTGTCATTTACTTTTCGTTAAGTTTTAATGTAATAATTTTAATATAAATAAATGTATATTGTATATAAAAAAATCTCTTTTGGTATTTTTTGCGAGTTATATTTAGATTATATAATTTCTAATGCATTATGTAGAATATGACATTAAAATACAATAGAATTATACACAACACTAATATTACGATAGAGGGACTTCATGATTATTTATTTATTTCAAAATAATGTTTAATTATTTTAAAGTTATCTAATAATAAAAAAATAGTTCCTTTTGAAATGATTGTTATCCTATTTTATGGCAGTTTTTGAAATAGTGTGACCGTGATTTCTATTAGAGTATTTATTTTTTATCATAAAGATCGTATCTAAGAAATTTATTATATAAATTAAAAACTACTTAACTAACTTTATTCTTTAAAATGAGTAATTGTAAGATCCCATTGAAACATGTCGTGATACACCGTGCATTTATTTATTTTTTTAACATAGAATTTTCACTTTTCTCTTTTTCGACACGTAAATATAAACGATTGTTTCTCAGATTTACGTTTTTTTTTTGCATTGAGTAGGAATAGGCACCATATCTTATATACGAAAACCAACACACGAATTTCGTTTGTGAAAAAGGGGGTTTCACACAAATTATAAAACTCAAAAATCCTTATATATTGATTTGTCCGTTTTTTGGTTTTTTATAAAATTTGTAGAAATAAAAGCGTGTAAATGTGTGAGCAATAAGGTTATTGAAAAGTGAATTAATCTTTTTAATTCCATTATCCTAAGATATATGTAAATAAAGTGATACTAGTCATTTTAGAACTTAGTGTAGGAACATTACAAATATTGTGTTAGGTTTACTATAATAATCTAAGAATTGTTAGGTTGAGATATTATTGCTATTCCTACCTGATATTTTATATTTTCGTTAACGATTTCATTGGAAGAAGGAAGCATTTTGAGATTTCCGGTCAATGTAGGAAATTAAGTTTTCTATATTGTCTCCGGGGGCTGGGTGTTGTGGTACTTTCGTGTATCAGATACTACATAATATTAGAGCTTTGGCTACTCATCTTGGAATCTGAGCAATGTATGTGATGTTGTACAATATTTATTTATTTTATTACGAAGTTATTATTTTTTAACTGTGAAGTTATCCATTTTATTATTTATTCTTTGCCTGTTTTGCTAACGGTACCCTGAATGTGTGAATAAAAGCATGGACGCATCAATAAAACAGTAATACGGACCTGTGCCGGTCCTGTACCGGGTCTGATACGTTACTGTTGCGTATGTATAAACTTTAAACATTCCTTTACATTATACTCACTCATAACTATTACTTTCCCTTTCCTTAAAAAACTAAGCAAAGAATTATTATTTAATTTGTAAAATTTTTTAAGCACGTTTGTTGAAATTGCCTATAACAATAGAAATTGTAATGTAGGGTGTACGTAAAATCCTAGTTTAGTACGTACATAATTAGGAACTGCCGAATTTCACATATCCTGTGCATTCAATAGTAATATTTATATAAATAATTTTAAGCTCTAATATAATACAAAACAAGAAAGTAGTTGTGACATTAGTTGAGTATATTCCAAATGGTAATCGTAGAATTATTTGAGAGTTCTAAATGGATGTGACATTCGAGTATAGTATACTGTAATTAGTTTAAAATATATTAGTGATAGATAATAATTTATAATTACATAAAAATGAATTAATATATTGACATTACCTCGAAGAAAAGAGTTTCATTTTAATCTATAAACATAAAGATGATTTATTTGCATAAAAAAATGGATTCCGCTTATGAAAAGATGCTAATATTTTAAACAAGACAGAGTTAATTGTTTGTTTGCATTTTCCATAATTCTTTCATCTACGGGAAGTTACATCATAAGCGGGTGATAAAGGCTATAATTCATATGAGAGTAAACGCAGGAAAATAGTAAGTCAGCCAATTTAAAAAAAAATGTTCGCTTTGTTAAAAACCTTTTTAACCGACTTCAAAAAAGGAGGTTCTCAGTTTGACCTATATGTATGTTTGTACGTGATTATCTCGCGTTTGGCTGAATCGATTTTGACGAGGTTTTCAGAGAAGTATTATGAAGTGTTACATCAATATCACTAAAAAGCATGAAACAATAGCTAAAAAATTAATAAAATAGAACCGAATTCAAACTTTAAAAAAGTTAATAATAATACTTATCTCAGTGGCGACTTTTTCAAGAAAATGCTATTTAAGTCGGACGCCTAACTAATTATATTAATAACCTACTAAAAATTCCGCCCGATTTTAATAGAATTTTCTTGAATAATTCGCTTTTGAGATATAATAATTTATCACCTTTTAAAGTTTCAAGTCAGTTCAATTATTTTATGAAGTTTTTAACGCGTAAAAGTTATTTTTCTTTAACTTTTATCAAGTTATTAGTCCTTATTTATAGATGGAGATAAAATAGGGCGAACTTGTCCCAATACCTATCGCTCATTTATTTAATAACCGGAATTGCAAAGTCAATAAACCTCTGTACCGTTGTAGTTATAATTTTGAAACTCCAATTAGTATCGATTAATCAAAGTATGAAGCTAAATTCTTTGTATTTAATTTTATTTATTAGATACACAGAACAACTTACTATCATTACTAAAACCACATACAAGCATAGTTGTGTCTTAACTTGATAATAAGTCTGAATTTGTGTACAGTTAATAGATGAAATATACCAATTTGTTAAATATATTTGGTAATTTTAAGCGCAGATTTTTCTTATTTTAGCCTTGATTTCTATTAAAAATGCCCCGAAAGTTTTAATTAAAACCGCGATGTATGGTTATAAATCTAGTTAAGATATTTTAACAAGCTGCCAGCGATTCGGTGGCAGGAATCGATCTTATCGATTAATCTATTAGTGGATTAAGTAGAACCGTAGCAGAACTGAGGAGCTGCGGTTAGCGTGTTCCGTGTGCGATGCGGAAATTACAAATATTTCGGTCCTAGGATGGGTAACCAAAAAGTTTAGTATCATGAGTTTCTCCTTGCTTCAGAAGGCACGTCACACGTCGATGCTATTACATCTACATGGAAGGCTTCTGTTCCAGCAGTGGTAAATTAAAAGACTTATCTATAAGTTTTAAGTGACTTTGGAGACTAACAAAAATGTTGAAATTCTGGAGAAATGTTTCAAGAAGCTCTGCTCTGTGAAAACTCAACATTAGAAAAGACACAAAAGGCTTATAGTGTTTATTTCATTTAAATACATTGTGTTGAAATGTCATTCTCAAATTGGGTTATTTCAATGTCCAGGGCCTATTTTTTCAAAATATACTACTCCTAATAAATGGGGCACAGACGACCAGTGAATTGATAAAATAAGAAAAAATCTCCACAACTTTAAATGGCAACTTCGATCGAAAAAAGATATGACAAGAAATCACAGATAAAATGTCAGCAAACTTTCAAAGAACCAAAGAGAATTTAAATACTACGTCCAGACAAAGGTCGTCAAGTGGACGTCAATCTTATTGATTTATTTTCTCGTTTGTGTATTTTATCGAAATAAAAATTGATTACCTAACAAAATATTGTAGAAAAATGTACGGGAGGTCGCCGGAGAGGCGGCAAAAGCAAAAACTGGCCCGGTTGTCCACATTTAGAGTCGAAAACGAGCAGAACCCGGAAGAAATGCCACAATGCTTTCAGGTTATTGGTAATCACATATAAATTATTTATAATGTGCCTTATTTGCGATATTTTACTTAACATACAATATACTATAGAAACCTCGTTCCGTGCAATAATGATCTTTAACATTTACAACATACAGCACATAAATGGTGAAGACCGGTTTTTGATCTCAATAACCGCGCCCTTACGTAGCTCTAAATACTGTACTGTAATCATCCATGTTTTTATTCGTTTTTACTACAGTCAATTCCTTTGAGTTTTGGCGAAAGCATACATATGCAATGACATCGTTAAATAAAGTATCTCGTTTTGATTCGTCCCTTTTTAATTTTTTATCTGCTTTATTGTACGATACGATTTTTGGTGACCTGCTACGCAAGCCTTTTGGCAATTTACAATGAAAATTCTCAGTTTAAAACTAAATGTCATTGACAATTTTAGAATAAAACGATTGTAGGTAAATTAGTGAGAATAAAATATAAAAAAGTCGAGGCCAAGCTTCCAGGTATTTTTAAGGAAACTACGAAAACACACCGGATATTTTTATTAAGACTTCAAAATCGAAAAGGTGAAGGTTATATGTTGGACGGCGATGATTGTTTTTGTATATATTTTTGTCCGTTACTGACCAATTTTTTAATTTTTTTTTAAATTTTATCGAAATCGATTAAGTAGTTTTCCTTTTGTAACAAAACAAATACGCTTTCCGACAAATATCACCTATATTAAGATGTCGGACGCCTATCATTTAATAACCTAATGAAAACCTCCGCCCGACTTTAATAGCATTTTCTTGAATAAGTCGCCTTTAATTAATATTTATCTATTAATTATTTCACATTATTTTAAAATTTGATCGGTTCTACTTTTATAAAAGCTTTTTCTCACTAATTTACAATTGTTTTATTCCAAAAATGTGAATGATATTTAGTAAAAACTAAGCTGAGAACTACAAGCTGAGAATCATAAATGTAAATTGCTAAAAAGTTTTGCGTACTAACATCGATGTTGTTGTGTTTATGTCGCAGCCAACTGGTTGATTAAAATAGCAATTCAATTGGGCGGCTAGCTATTTCTTTTAATGGCGCCATTCAATTACACGCCTAGTTTTCATGTAGAATCGTTATAAAATTGGGACCGTTTGTCTATAAAAAATAAAATTCTGGAAATTTCGTTAAAAAAAGTATCTATCACGTGACCTACAGGACCAAATTAACTTCGTTGTTTATCATTTTATGTTGTTATTAACTAATGTAGCACCAAATTTTGAAATAGTTATTAATAAACTAAAACGATTGCAAATAAATACATTGCATGCTCTCATTTCGATAGATTGCGTTGTGGCAGTTTAAATCGTGGTATATCTTGTTTTTATATATTTGTATTCGTATTAAGAATTTATTTTGAAAGTTTAAGATTAACGCACTGTGGAGTGTTCGTTAGCTTCCTGTATTCGACCATACGGACCATTAACACCCAGTCGCGAATAAGCAGTTTGTTATTATCGTTCTGATCAGGCCTGTATGTGTGAGTAATATAAAAATGTATGTCACGTTTGAATTGTAAAAAAATATATAAATTTTAATAGGTATATTTTTGGACATGATTATTAGTACGTGTTTATAAGAAAGATGATAATGTAAATAAATATAAGGACAAATTTTAGTGAAGCGATATAAAATTGCAACGTGTAGATAACAAAAGTACTTAGCACGTTAATAAATTTACACATTAATTAGCACGCTATTTTTTTTAGCATTTATTCTGCAGCGTACCTATATTATATTGGTTTTGAATAACTGCGCATGGCACATCGAACGCACTAGCAACAGCGCCATCGAACTCCTATATCACTACTGTTTCATTAATTGGAGACTTGGGATCCTTATTATTTTGTAATATACGTGGACAAAAGTTACAATTCTTAAACACGTTTTTATTTTTCAATATTATTACAAATTGATTTTATATAATAGATAGTTTCAGTAATTACTTGATCTAATTGGTCCAGATATTGGTCAACATAATCGAGGCTCGAAAACTGGCGTGGTCCAATCCGCATTCAGCAAATTCGTATGTTGTGTTAGTTCTCGGGAAGAAGAAAAGTAGAACAAACATCAGGAGAAATATGGTTGAGCCTTATTTCAATGAGGTAAGGTTTAAATGTGAAAAAAAATCCTTGATGCCTGCGATGTCTCGACTCCTGTTAATAAGTTATAAGCAAAATATTCTTATGAAAATATTAACTATACAATACAAACCAGGTGTTCATAGTAGTAGCTTATACAAAGGATAAAAACTTAAGAATTAGTTTAGAAAAGAGTGATTTTAAATATCATGCCATACAATTAGGTAAATAGTGTAGTTTGTTGCTTTATTTTAGTACCTACATGTCACTATATGATATTTGTTACATTTCTAGAATTTTGTGTTCGAAATGTATGCGAGTATTCAAGATCTTCAGCGGTCTTATTTGTGGTTAGCGGTAATGGAGCCTCGGTTTTGTACGCCCTCTAGGTTGTTAGGAGAAGCTACAATAGATTTGGGAACGATTTGGGAGCAGCCAAGTACGTATAAAACTTGCTCATGGACAATTCTTTATTCGGTCAATTTAGGTCCATAAAATTATGTGCTCTATATACACTACTAATATGCAATACTTAGAATATTTAATATCTAGATACTGTTTTATTACTCAAAAAGTAAATACAATTAAGACCCGCCATAAAAAAAAATTCAGCGGGTCTTTTCGACAGAATGTCAATGGCGTTCACCGTGCACATTTGTCAAGATTTTCTTTATAAAAATGAGTGTTTGAGTAGTGAAATCAAGCTTAAATTTTACTTACAAGAACGTTTTACAACGTTGTGGTTTTCCGTCTTTTAAATTAACTCTCACTGGGGATCTAGTATGTAATTATAAAATACAACAATAGTGTCTTTTTCGTTAGTAAACATTAAAAAAGAGCGGTTACATTATCTTTGATAAGCAAGGTAATATTCTAAAATAAGCGCCTTTCTTTTATCTGTCTGGAAGAATAATTAATAATTTTTGTAACTTAATATAAAGACTAAAAATTCTATACTGTTATAAAATTATATATAAGAAGGTACTACATATTTTTTTTTTACTAAAAAGGTAATGTTTTACTTTATTGGACGCTTTACACTGTGTACTATTGATAAAAAAATATGTTTTTATATACTTTTGCAATCGGATCAATAACCATTATTTGCATTCATTGAACTGTAATAAAAAGACTATAATACTGGTGGTACTAATATTACGCCATAGGTACAAATTGTGCGGCAAATAGCTATTAACTCTTATAATTATTTGCAAATATAATAATCGTAAGAGTGCTGCTTATTTCCTTCGGCTATAAAGTGCTTTCCATACTTGTTATTTTTTTCATTATAAGAGTACCTATAATTACAACAAAAAATAAAAACTACGAATATCAGACTTTTTGGCTATCATACGACCGTTGGATAAACTATTTAACACGCTATTTCTTACAATTTTAATTATTTAGTTCAAAAGAAGTTGAAAGTTAAGCGTTAACACAAGTTAACACGAGCTCTACTAAGTAATAATGTTTATTACGACACAGTTACGTTTGGGAAATTGTAATCATATTAATAAGTTAAAATTTTCATCATTTTGGGGTAATCTTTGTATACTGTTATCACTCATGTCACTCACAGAAACGAAAACATGGCAATTAATACATGTTCTTTGCTCTTTACTTTCGCACACACGAATCTCATACGGCTTCACTATTGTCATTGCGCTTTGTATGGATTGGATATTATTATCTATTTCGATATTATTTGATTAAAGATTCAATATTATAGCAATATCTCCAAAAACTTTAATCCTTGCACAACTCCAGGTTTTAGTGATATTTGAATTACTTATTTATATTTAGATGGGAAATGCGCAACAATTCTAGAAATTGTAATAAGAAAAATAGCATCTCGTTGTTTTAGGACATCTTATATTCCACAAATGGGCTCAGTTGACTTTGCCAAGAGATCCGATCGCGGGGCCTGTGGGTTTCTTGAAAATCGATATTTCTATAATTTTTCGAGAAGTTCAAATAATACCAGCTATTGTCTCTCAGAAGCCTGCAGAAAAGTAAGTTCTTGATCGTTGAATCTAAAGAAGAGAGCAAATTATAATATCAATTTAAAGATACAAGATCACAGATATCATTAAAGTGCAATTTTCAAATACACTAACTACAATCAGAATATTCCATGTAAGAAGTTTTTCTTATAATTTGTCAGAAAAAACTTTAAGATGTCGGAATTAACTTTACTTGATCCTCCAAATTACAATTCAAGCTGTCCATCAAGATTCTTCTGGAGCACATTCTGTTCTTCAAAAGAACCTTGATTGAATGTCAACGATGAACATGTCTAATGAGAATTCAGTACAGGAAAAAATAATATTGAGCATTATAGTGAGTACAGTAATCAAAGATCCAAGAATAAACATTTAAATGTTGGACTATAAACAAGTACCCATTATGAACTATATTATTAACTCTACGCTCCTGTGTTCCATTTATTGATATTATACTGTAATTCATTTGATTATTCGTCAGTAATCTCTTGCTACCAACTGGTTCGGAGCAGCAATGTGCCAATTATGTGATCACTATTTTCGGAGCTTTCGGTCTGCCTAGTGGAGTACAGGCACATGGTAACAGGAAGTATGGGAAACCACCAAGTACATTCGTCAAAATCTCCTTTTGCGGATTGGTAGTAAGTAGGCTAAACGCTATTGGTAAATATCCAAAAAAGAATTTTGTGAATAACTATGTGCATTAGTTGAATTCAAATTAATCTTAGGAAAGATTAGATTGTTTGTTTGTTTGAATCGAATAGGTGCCGAAACTACTGGACTGATTTTAAAAATTCTTTCATCTACGGATAACTACATCATACGGGATTGTTGTAGGCTTTTACGCGTGCGAAACCGCGAGAAAACAGCTAGTATTATATACATTTAGTTGAAAAATGTCATTATCATATAAAATACTATTGGTTTTTTATTGGAAATCAACCGTACTGTGTACTAAATATTAGAATTATATCGTCGATTTTTTAATAAAAAAGAAGATATATATTGAACATTGATAAATAAACTATGTTCAGATAAATTTAAAGTTCAATCCTTAATGTAAGAGTTCTGATGGATTATTAATTTGCACCTCTTCCTCTATTAGGTCAAAACAGGCGTGCAACACAGAACCAACCATCCATCGTACTGCGAACAGATTTCAATAGTAGAAATGTTTCCCAATATTTGCCAGACCATCAGAATGGACATATGCTCAGCGGATAGTTGTTTCAACAGGGTGATTGCCAGTGCACATCTGAAACTTGGTCTAGTATCTCACGATGGAGAGAATGGTAAATTAGCAATCTATATAGGTTTCACATCTAAGTTAACACAATCTATATTATGAACGCACTTAAAGTCAATAGTTTGGCAGGAAGACATTTAAATATCGTCATTTTTAGTCTATTTAATCTTAACATTATCAATGATGATTTTTACTGTGACATGATATAAATATAGACTGAGTTCAATATAAGTGTATGGACAATGTTATGCCGACAAAAAAATAGACTACTTCTCATTTAATTGTAAAATGTACAGACCTATCAATAAAAAATGTATTTAAATGATTTTATTTTGAAATACATTCACGACACCTAGTTTGGTAGATAACCTAATTTCATTGTCCACCAGTAGGTTACAATATAATAAAAAAAAACAAAATTGGCATGATTTTTAAATAAGCTTAAGAATTTGTAACGTTCATCATTTCTCAAAACTTTTGTCAAACGGAGGCGTATAAAATGGACTAATCTAGAAACAAAAGTTCATGTGAAACCCCAATTCCAAAAGAAACTATCACATTTGTTTCAGGCTTCCTGCCTACGTTTGGCCCGTCATTACTTCACATGTATGGCGCTGGAGGCTCATTGGGTGCAACTAGTGAGGATGGCCCATACCACCGCGGGGCACTGCTTGTTTCTTTAAAGACCAGCGTGCCTTATTACCAACAGGGAGTAAGAAGTACCAGTGTCGAGCCTGTCACTCCAATAAAACCGGTAACTTACTAATTGGGTAACTTCAGGATCTTGTGTAACAGTTTTGTTGAGTAGGTTTTGAAAGTTTCCTCCTTACTCTAGTCATAATTCATTTAATGTTTTACTTGTGATGTGTTATTACTCGTAGTTAGTAGTATTTCACAACTTAATCAAATTTTTATTTACTTTTTATTTGTGTTTGTTGCTTTCCTTTTTTGTACTGTTTCTTTGTACTAAGATTACTGTATTTTATAAGCAAGTTATTATTCAGTGATGCTATTTTAAGGAACATTTGTGGGTTATGGAAGACTTTTGGATATACTGTCCTATCCTGGAGGTTTCAATGTTGGATGGCGCTGTCGCAGGCAAATGTAGTGGTGTAGCTTTGACAATTGGAGAAGTAAATACCGATAATACTTCTGATCAAGGTGATGTTCTTTCGTCTACTTTAAAGGCAATCGTCCATATAACCTAAAGCTTTGTTTGTTAAATGTTGATTTAAAAACTATGGAAAATAATATTTTGAAAATGTTAATAACTTAAAATTACTAAATGCACACCAAAATTCCGAATTTGTTCCATATGTCATAATTATTGATAATTATTTAGTAATACTTAAATTACTTCAAGGGTGGTGGTAACTTTTAAATCCAACTCAAAAGGTCAAAAATCGAATTAAACTAACTTAATTTTTATGGTGTTGTATTATCTACAATAAATAACATATTGACTTTATTTTAACGATAGCGAGAAAGAAACAGTGTGACCGTGATTACACGTAGACAAAATGTCCGATAGTTAAGAGTGGCCTACAGCAAACTTAAGACACTGATAGAAGACAGTGACTGAGCGAGTTCAGGGCAAAGTACAAAATTAGACGGACAGATAGTGTGTTATTAAACAATTGATATATCACGGATCGCGTCTGCTATTGTATAAGTAGTGTTGGCGAATAAGTCAGGGATAGCTAGACATGTTATATCTTCTGAATGATAAAATGTCTGTTCCTTGAACGCGGTAATGGTTAAAAAAATTTAAATAAGTCCTTCTATTTTCAGATTTTGCGGATAGTATGGCTGAATTGAGTAAGAACACGTAGCCTATGAGGGATTATGCTGAACGTAATATATCAATATTAAATTGTATTTGCTTTAAGGAACCCACAAACTTCATTATACTGGTTCAGTCAGTGTAAGAAGCTTAGAGCCATCGTATGGATATCTCGAATTTCAATATGGATATCCAGTTCTGCAGTTAGCTTCACGTTTGCCTGATTTCCGATTTCGTATGTACAGAAACAACATGGCTTATAGTATCGTCACCAATCTGGTTAGTGGGATCTTTATTTTATTTACTGGATAAAACTAGACTAGATAATTTTATGAACTCTTATCACACGCGTAAAATTAGTTAGTTCTATGAAAAGAGTATTATTTGACATTCAATTTAGTGAAGCATCAAATAATATGTAAAATTAACGTTTGCAGCAAAGGTTTACTTTCATATCAATTTTTTACTTAATGTTAGTATAGTATGTTAATGAAAAAGTTTATATATTCCTTCTGGAGTTTATTATGTCATTTATATTAATTATTTATGATGTTAATGTTTTAAAAATAAATGCTTGTCAGGAGGATTCCATATCAGATATAGCATATCGATTAAAAACTTTGGATTATTCAACACCAAGTGAGTTGATTGATGAACTAAACAAAACTGTAGATGAGACTGCAAATAGCATTTTAAAGTTTCTAGACATCGTCAAGTATTCCAATTTAAATGACAATGACGCTGTGATGCGTCATAACATGACGGAACTTGATCAAAAGCAGTTGTCACTGCAAAAGGATGAGATGGTAATTGTTTATGTTCTTATTATAAACATCTTAAATTTTTTTATTAACTTGTTGAAACTAAAAAAATATAAGTCGGACTCGTACCCGAACAAATTAAAACATTAAACTTATATACAACTATATGCTTTGTAAATTCTTAGTTTAACTAATGCGATATTAATAATTACTTTATACTTAAGTCGCGCGTGATATCAACAACTTCACTTTATTCATCATCATCTTACATAATGTACCGTTTTATTGGTAATAAATTTTAGGACATGATACAATCGTACTTTTATTTTTTACCATACATTTAGTATGATTAACTTAAGAGCTTGATTTGAAGTAATATTCAATAAACCAATCTAACAGGAAAAGATATATCAGCTAATAGTGAAAAGACTTAAATCAAGATCTGTATTAAATCTTCTACGCTCTTATGATCCACCAAGGGATACAAAAAAAGGAGTCAAGTTATACCTTGCAGAAATAAAAATTATGATACAGAGTCTAAAGAAACCTATGTTTATGGTGCGTTTAATGTTATTCAGAAATATTGATTACAATTATAAACTGGTACTGGTAAAATAATTAATGTAAGGACATTATTTACATTGTTATCTAGAAACTATTTGATTGTATTAGATATTTTTGGTATAATACTTGTAGGTACTTCATATTCTTATGGAATTCATATTCGGGTTCATGGATATAATTAAATGGGTGACTCTAAATTTCTAATCAAATATTACAAAATTTAGTGGCAGAATTAATGTCAGCTACTTCTACAATTTCTGCACTCTAGCTAATGTTGATTGTTTGATCTAGTTTAATGTTGATTGGACCAATGCATAACACGATTTTTACTTTGCTGTTTTTGATTCTACTTTTTTTTTTTTTTTATATAATGGAGGGCAAATGACTGCGCTCCACCTGATGGTAAGTGTAAAACAGTACGTATACCTTGATCTAGTTTTGCTTAAACTATTTTCATTAAAGTCTTCAGATGGTTGGCCTGATATTGCTTTATGGCTATTGAATGCCGGATCTAGAGTTGCATTCGCCAGGATACCAGCAGCTGATGTTATTTATTCAGTTATATCTGAACAGTGTGGGAAGAACTGTGGTAAAATACAATCACTGTACGTAAAGGTTAGTGATATTTTTTTTTTGTGACAATTTGAGACAGTCCCACAATGTGATTTGTGGTACCGATTTTGTATTATCTAGTGTATCGTATTTGGATCGCTATCTCATTTATTTTGGAAAAGAACTTTATATATTGCCACCAATGTTGGTGGGTGTGCCAAATGTTATGAAAATTTCAAATGAAAAATATTAAATTTTAAAACATTAATCATGAGTTTGGACTTCATTTTCTTGAACGTATCAAAATAAATTGCCTTGTAATTTTGAAGATAAAACTCTAATTCTGACACACCTTAGTAATCAAAACTCTAAAACTTTTATAATCAAAGCTCTTGATAACACCAAATATAACATTATACATAGAAAAGATTTGGTTGTTTGCATAGACTCAGACAACACCGGACTAATTTTAAAAATTCTTTCATCTATGAGAAGCTACATCATACCCGGGTAACATAGAGTACCTATAATTTACGCAAAAGATAAGTCGCGGAAAACAGCTGTTAATATACAATAAGCACACCTTGATGTTTCTGACTAATAATTAAATTCTGAACCTAATATTCCAGCCAATAAAATGTCCTAAGCATTTAAATACATACGATTCTGGTTGCCACTGCATTGCTGGCAAAATAGAGCTTCTTCTTTGGATGGGTTTGTATAGAAAAAAATCATGTTTTGAAAGATTTCTGCCCATTGGAATGAATCTCAAAGCGCGAGGACATGAAATAACTTTGAAATCGAACGTATTGGTAAGTGAAGAAACAATTAATGATAAACATGATCTTATCACATTTGAGAATAAATCCTAAATACTAAAAATTGGCTTAGCCTATGTAGGTATGTATCAAACTACTTAAAAAAAAAATCATCACCAGCATAAGTTTACACTGTTGGAGCGCAGGCCTTCCTAATGAATGACAATCGAATTCAATAGGGAAACGAGTTATGACGTTGCAAAGCAGCACCAGGATTGATGGGTATTAACGATTGCTAGTGCAGACTGGTACCAACGGATTAATTTAAAAGACGTTTTTATATGTAACATGAACATAATTCGTTTCTGAACGTGTTTAAAAATTTCTATTTAGTTAATTGAGGTAAAAATTAAGATTATGGTTCTTATAAATAACTTGTAAAATAAAAAGAAATGTGATTGAAAATCATGATTTATCACTATCTTTTTTATAATAATAAACAAGATTTTATAATAAATTGATCGTCTTCCATTTATAAAATCTTGTTTAATATTGAATTAATTTTAGAAATTTCACAGATGTTGGACTGTCGCATTTTTGTATACAGAGCAAAATTGAATAACATTGTCGATAACGGCGTAAATCATTCAAATATATTTATGAGAATGAATATGATGAATTCGATGAAAGAAACAAAGGTGAGAGTAAAACCTTTTTGTTTTAGTTACTATGTCTTTTATAATTCAGTAATCTTTTGCCAAAAAAGTACGTTTTCGGTACTAGATAATTTTGCAGTTAATATCGCTACCAAAATAAATAGAGGTTATCTTTGTTTAAGACATTTTTTTCATCCAATAAACCTTTTGCATTATTGTTTGAGTCAGTTATTTTAGTGATGTGATAACCCATTATTTTATGAATGTGTTGTAGAAAGTACCAAAATCGGCAACACCTTTATGGAACCAAACACTGAAGATACACACCATGACGTTTTCGTCACTCGAAAGAATGATTGACAGCCCACCAATGATGATGGTGGAGGTATATGAAGTTGATTATTCGGTATGTCCAGACTCAGTTCAATAACTGCAGGAGTAGGCCTCCTTTATGGATGGTTAAGGAGTGCGGATTATACCAATGCGGATTGGAGGGTATTAATGACTGCAAATGCAGCCCGACCAATGTCACCCATCCCGTGACCGACCCTTGTAAAAGTTGCTTAACAAAAACGATCGCAGGTCACGGCGCTTATGAACTACACCACCAAGTTACTCTCTTCTTTTCTTGTATCGTATTACAATTACTTCATTATTATATATGCTCGTCTTTATTCCAAAAAGTGTCGTATATTACATGAGATTTCAAACAATTCACTTTGATTTTAGGATAAACTGATTCTAATTGGTCGCGCTCAAGTGAAACCAGTATTGGATGATCGTGCCGACCTTGAATTTGCACCCAAATTACAGTGGTATGAGATATATAAGGGATCAGAGTGTTTAGGACAAGTTCATATGTCGGTACAATTGATGCAAGTAAGTTCGAAAGCATGTGATGTGTTTTTATGATGTGCTGTTGAAACTATGCTGTCAAACAAAGCGCTGTCACAGTATTAGAGGTTCCATGTTATAAGCCCTACTTCTAAAGTCAATAAAGGTTATGTTATGTTTATCCCAGTGTTCGACACAGACGCATCTCTTTTAGCTTTAATTATATCTCAAATCTCACAAAAGGTGAATATTACCTGTCTTAACCAAATACGTCTATAAATTTTAATTTGAGTATTACCTCTTTGGTAAATAGGTATTCAAATGATAGTAATAAATAACTAATACTACTTCTGAATTGAATCTCTCTTCGAAATTTTATTTACATTATGCTACCCATAGAAATATATCTAGTATGCTACCTCTTATCATTCCAATCTTTGTTACTAAGATTTCAAAAGAAAGGTATTTCAGGTTTCAGAAGAATTGATTAGAACCATTAGTTATCTTAATATAGAAGAAAACTTAAATACATCTAAAGTTAAAGAATATGCTTTATGTGAAGAAGACACGGAACCACTGCCGGCCAATTTAATACCGCAATTTTTCACTTACAAGTACGTTGAGTTTCTTACGTAATTATACTGATAAGTTACCAACTATAATAAGATTTTTTAGCATTTTGTAAATTATTCTATCATATTCTTTAATCAAAATAAAATCATAGCTATGCTCGAGCCGCCGTTCCGTCTAGCTTACTTATCACAAATTAAACATAAATGTCTTTTCAATCTGATACAAATTATAATACGCCGATTTCAGTTCTTTTTCATAGACGTAAGAGAATAATTTGTGCTTGCTTTATTTCAAAAAGACTTCATATATTTTGGTTTATAATCAATTGCGAACTTATGTACCCCTAACTTTAGAGTTGACGTTTATTGGTGGGGTTTACGTGATATAAACATTACAAGGAGACCTTGCGTTGTCCTCGAGATTGACGAGCTCACAGTAAAATCTGACATCATCACGGACAAGCAAATCAACTGCAACTTTCCGAACGGCAAGTCCAGTCACATATTTGAGGCTCCACTTAACGAAACACACACTACGCTGTTGAGCGTCAGGTTATATGATAGCGGGACTTTTGGGAGGACTCAATTTATCGGTACCAATGATGAGAAGCACCCCAATAAATATATAGTGAATTGGATTGCCCAAAGTGAGAGGGAGGAAACGTTGAAATCGGCTTCCATAATGTCTTCCGATTTCTGTCAAGGTAATTTTATGGTTTGATTGTAGGTTCCAACTTTTTCTCTTGCAATTAATTTCTAATTAAAATAATACAGTGCAATAAAAAAATCTAGATCATTTTTGTTCAAAGTATGGAAATTCACTTAACCGCAAAAGTTCGTAGATCAAATTTTAACTGAGTCGTTTTTAAAACTAGTTATACAGTTCTGCCAGATTGTTGGTGTTTTGCTCGTAACCTGTATTAACAATTTTCACAGTGGGACCAGTAAATTTCAAGAAAAAAAGTGACATGTTGCTCAGTGACATCTCGATAGTTAATAATGCAAATATCAGGATCACCAATTACAAGCGCAAAGCAAAACGATCTACCTGGGCCAGATTGTTCAACGGAAAGTGTCCCACTGAGGAAGAATATGTGCTTTTGCCGATATTTGAGAAAGAGAACGCACAGGATGATATAGTTATGAAGAAAAGCTCAAAAACTTTTCATCAACAAGACTGGTGGTTGAGGTACTTCAACTCGATCAAAGTAAGTGATATACAATATCATTAGGTATTATCAGCCTATATATGCAGGCCTTTTTAGAACACACAAGTCACAAGTGGGAACCGGTGGGTTTTAGCAACAAAACAGGACGTGTTTCACTTGTCGAATGATTTTACTTACAGGAGTTGTCGAAGTCTGTCATGGTTTCTTGAAATACATTATCCAATCATTCTATTTAATATAACTTATATAACTACTTATTAATTATCATGATTTTAGGAAATCCCATCAACATTGAACTTTGTTTATTACTGCATAATTATTGTTTCACAGGATGACAACGACGATGAAGGATGGTCTGCTCTCCAAAAACTAGTGGTAAAAAAAAAATCTAAATAATGTAGCTCAAATTTAATTCAATTTCTTTTTAATTTTTTTAAATGTGTAATAATTTACAAAGATATACGAGTCAGAATTAGAGAGTCAAACGGAATTCAGTAAATTCAAAGACTGGTGTAGTTCCATAAAGTTCTACAATGGTAAGAAGACTGGTATTCCTGAGGAAGATGAAAAACTCTATTGTGGAATCCTGAAAGTAGGAATCGCTATATATAAATGGCCACCACCCGGAGGTGTTACAGCTGTTACCTCTAGTGGAATAGATTTACACAACGGGTAACCAATCATTATATCTCTATACTTAACAAGGACTTGACCTAGTTTTGCACCGGCGAAAAACATTTTTTAATAAATCCCATTAAGAACAGTAAAATCGTTTATATTTTCATTTTCTATTTAAAAAAATTGTTTAAAACTAAATATATACAGGCAAAAATTGCTTGAATTTATATTAGGTCGTGTTAAAGGTGCAGGTAATATTACTGCCTACCTAAATAAGCTATAAAACGAATCCAATCAAAAAAGATCTTGAACCAAATACTTTTTAATTGATAATATTTTATGTCAATATTTAATATTTAATTATGTTTCCTAGGTATTTCGAAGATTTCCCAAGTAATGATCCAACTCAATTCTTGGTTCGTGTGTATTTAGTAAAAGGCGTTGATCTGAAAAAAAGAGATTTCACAGGTCAATCAGATCCCTATGTTATCCTTCGTTGCGGTAAAAAGATTTTAGGAGATAGGGATAGTTTTGTAAAGAATAATATGAATCCAGTATTTGGCAGGTATGTATACGGTATTTTTATTAATTTATTACAAATAATCATTAATTTTTACATTATAACATTTTATTGTATTGTAATTTTCATGAAGAAAACTTGTACAAAAGTCCAATAAATGAATTATTTAATTCAGATTATATTAGGTTATGTAGGTATATAAAAATATCAGTTTAAAATGCTGGTATGTCTGGAGATTAATAAAAAAAGCACTTTGAATGGCTGTTTCAATAAGTTTTTTAATAAAAGGGTAAAATTAACTTACCTAAATATTTCTGTATTAAGTTCAATCATATTATCATATAAACTTAAACCACTATTAGAGTAGCTCGGTGGCGTAATGGATAAGCGCCGCGGCCCGCGATCGTAGTCGTTAAGCAACTTTCTCAAGGGTCGGTCACGGGATGGGTGACCAAAAAATTAGTATCTCGCGCTACTCCGTGCTTCGGAAGGCATGTTAGGCCGTTGGTCCCGGCTGCATTTGCAGTCGTTAATACCCTACAATCCGCATTGGGCCAGCGTGGAGGGTTATGGCCCATCCTCCTTAACCATCCATAAAGAAGGCCTGAGCCCCTGCAGTGGGAACGTAAAAGGGTGATGATGTGATGACTATTCGTGTACAATTTACAGGATGTATGAATTTCGCAGCAATTTGCCGGAAGACTATATGCTTACAATTTCGATATACGATTACGACACTATACAATCGGATGCATTGATAGGTTCCACGTCTATTGACTTGGAAGATCGAATATACACCAGACACAGGGCATGCGTCGGTGTGTCTTCCGAGTACAACATGTTAGTATTGAAATCGATTCATTAAGTCCAAATTTAATCAAGTCACGAATTCACTCTAATGATCAATTATGTTTTCTATGCTAACATAAATATATATTGTTTTTTGTTGTAAATTTTAGAACCGGTCCATACAAATGGAGAGACTGTTACAAACCATCAGAAATATTGGAAGATATTTGTACTAAAAATCACTTGCCTCCACCGATTTACCCAGATAATGGTACTGTTATGGTTAATGGTGTAGAATACAGAGATTCTGATAAAGGTAATTTGTTTATCGTCACTATGTTATTTGTTTCGGTTTATAAAAAAATATACAGACTAGATATTCTACCAGACAGACAGTCATGAAATACAGTGAAATACTCATGGTTTATGGCATATTAGTGACAATTCTTTGATATCGCAATTTATATTGCGCTTTTCTAATTGCAAAGAATTATTTGATATGATTTAAAATACAAAAGCGTTTAGTTAAAGCTAAATATAATCTTTGTTTTGAACAGATAGAGTCTTCATTTCACCCTGCGAACGAAAGGAGAATATTTGTTTAACTATACTACAACAATGGCACACTTTGCCCGTTTGTGGTTATCGATTAGTACCAGAGCATTTGGAAACAAGAACGTTGTATAATCCTGAAAAACCGGGGCATGAACAGGTACGCAAAATTTAATGCGGTTTTTGTAACGAATCTATTGCTTAATTGTAGTTACTATTATTTAAACTTTTAGGGCAAGATCCAGATGTGGGTGGACATATTTCCCTTAGATACGGAACTGTACATTCCACCACCAGTTGATATAACTCCTCGAAACGCTGTGAATTATGAACTGAGACTAATCATTTGGGATGTGGATCGACTGAACTTCGACGAAAACCTTACTGGCAGGAAGTTTCCGGACGTTTATGTTAGAGCGTATGTAAGGTCATAGCAATCAACAAACCAGCATAAGCACATATGACAGTCGTTCACTACGGCAGAGATTTGGGCACACTACTTGTGGAATTGAAAATTTCTGTCAAAAATCTGATCACATGGCTGCATGGTGTGCAGCCAAAATTATGAGTTCAGCTTTATTTGTTTGCTTGACTTGATCTTGTAATCCATTCACATGATGATAAAGAAGGAACACTAATAAAAGATACCTGAAATCGATTACAAAAAAAATGGGGATGCAATGAAACACACTGTTATTTGTGTAATTAATTTATATTTCACAAAATCTTTGATTTTTTCAACAGATGGATTGGATCAGCTACTCAGGCTCAAGACACAGACATCCACTGCAGATGTACCAACGGTGAGGCTGCTTTTAACTGGAGGATGATATTTGATTTTCAGTACCAACATGTCGAAAGAAAGGTAAGTAATATAGTGTTCACACTCTAAATAAAAAAGATATAATAAATAGATAAATAAATGTATTTAAAATAAAACAATAAATATACGAGTAGTTAAAACATTAAACATAATTTAAAGTAAATAGTTTTTGTAATATAATTACATATTATCATTAGTTAATAGGTGGCGCTTACCAATTGTGAATCGCGGTATGATTTAATTTTCACACACTTCATATATACGATTGTTATTCCAAATAAAAGGTTTTTGCCCGTGTACGTAAATAAATACTATAGCATAACTTAAGTCTCTTATTGAACCCTCACTCTAGACCTCGACTCTGTTCAATAGTCATCACAACTTCCAGTGATATCTGACGTGAAATGTGCAAATTTTTGTTTAAGATACTATTGAATTTTGATCAAATAAATTTTAATTTATTTTCTTTATTAGTCATTCATTACTTAATTTTGATGAATAGTTGGGTTGGTTTTATCTATGACATATTTTATAGCTTAAATTTATAGTTGAAGTGTGATTTTAGATAGTCGTAAAAGAGATGGAAACATTCACAGAGTACAGAGAAAGAGTTCCCCCGATATTAGTCGTCCAAGTTTTAGACACTGAAGCTCTAGCGGCCGATGATTTTATAGGTAAATTAGTTTATATCTTTTATAGTTGACTTTAAGTCCTGACTTGTAATGTTTATATTTTTAAGGATTTGTACTTCGAGAGAATCAGAACTTCCAGGCTATCCATCTGTCTGTCAACGTTCAAAACCTCAGGAACTACACCGATTGAGTCATAATTGTCAACATGGGGTCAATTATTTTTTTATTTATAGATGACTCTCACTCGACTTCAGATCCCGCCCCGGGGCCTGTCCCGAAAGAAAGAAAGATTTAAACTATAACGTGTGCTTTATCACCCGACAATTGATTTGTACAATACCTCTACATTGGAGTGTGATTTCGATTTGCATTTAACAAGTTTTTTTTTACCGTGGCTTATATTAATATTTTTCTTATTATGATAACTAAAATAAAGTAGAATCGAACAAGACATTCTCATGTAAGAGTTGATTGTGACTTATTATAAATAGTTTCGGTTTTTGAATAGTGTTTGCTTGCATTCATTGTTCTGGCATTATTGATTTCAGGTACACTCATCCTCAATCTAAATGCTATGCCACGAGGAGAGAAATTATCAAGTCAATGTAGTTTAGATGCATTAGATAGTGCAAAAATTGTTAATATGTTTGCGTTGCGATCAATGCGGGCTTGGTGGCCATTGTGGAATGTCGATTGTAACAGTGAAGCAAAATTTTTAGCTGTGAGAGATATTTTTTCTATTTCAATTTTAGTATTTATTATATTTTAAGTTATTACACTATAAGGTAAATTTATCGATTACAGGGTGTCATAGATATGGAAATGACCGTGCTTCCTAAAGAGAAAGCTCTTCTGATGCCTGTTGGTTTAGGAAGAAGTTCCCCGCTTGCTTTGCCAGAGCCGCAGTGAGTAGAGTTTATATCATACTGTGCTAATTGCACACATAAGAAACGTATGAGGTATTGTATAGCACATTCAGTAGAAGTAGCTCACTCAGGCTGTGGAAATTAAGTAAGTAATCCTAAGGACGATTGTTGACTAAAATTTTATCATCACGGCTTCCTCCTTGTTTTGAAAGTTCTGTTAAGCAGTTGCGTTAAGCTCCGTCTTCGTGGTAAACATTTGTTAATCAACAAAGTTGCAGCAACGTGTTACTGAGTTGGTTACTGCATTTGAAATGTTTTTGTTTTATGAGCAAAAACAAAGTTGATAAACAGTTGCTCACGAAAGCATGAATTCGGAGCTTTTTATTTATCGTCTACAGTCTTTAACATTCAAAATCTGAACAGGTGCCACCTGGTGGACTGTAATGATAAATTTACCTATATTGTTCTATCCATGGCCATTCAGTCCAGCAATGGTGACAGTGACAAGCTGATGATGATCAATTATGTTTCATGTCTAATTTTTATTTTCTAGACGTTCCTATACAACGAGAATTTTGAACAAACTGAGAGCAGAGGATATAAATCGATATCGGTTGTTCAAAATATTATTCGTCGCATTACTATTAGTATTTCTGAGTGTATCGATCATATGTCTCGATATGTATTCAATTGACTCGGATAAATGGATAAGGTTCGTAAATTAATATTACAAATATAATTAGCAGAGTCCTTTTACTGTAGAGTTCATAATTATCTTTTCCTTTGTCTCAATTATTTAATTCGTATTTTCGCTCTTAGACGGCAGTGGTCTCTACTTATCAAACGGTCTATTTCTCATTTTAACTACTCTTCTTTGCAACTGATTTGAGACCAGCCCATTTAGCAATTCGCATTTTTCGTATTCCGTCTATTTCTTAAGTTTCGCAGTCTACCCATTTTTCTATGTAATGTCATCTTAAGACAGTCGGAATCCGTGATAATTTGTATTTTATTCTATGTTCTTTTTAGAATACTAATCGGCCAAATATATATTTGAAACAGATACTTAAATAGCGCCGTGTTTTATATTAAAATCGTAAACCTCTCAACAAATCTTCTCTTTTGATACGTATACTAGGAGAGTGCTTATTAGTGCTCACTGTAGATGTCGCACTATGGTGTCGATTAAGCAAACATTCATTATTTATAAAGAGTATCCCTTTTCAAACCGTAGCCCAATTCATATAACTATGAACAATCTAAATAACACTGAAGTTTATAAACCGTTCGATAGAAGTCCTATCGAAAATTCGAAATGTGGTATTCAGGTGATATTCGGACGCTCTACAATAGAACTTCAACTCGATAAGATCGAAACTCAAAGACTTATCAATCGAAAACCAATACAGTTGCCACTGAGATTAATTTGTATGCTACCGTGCTGTTAAAACATATTTTTCACAGTGAGATGAGAGATTTATTACATGATAAATAAATTTTAAAATAAAAATATATAAATATATTAAACATCAAAAACAGGTGCATTATTTTGTAGAGTTAATATTTGTATGTGGGCGAAATTTATGTCGCAAAGTAATAAACATTTTCTTTTATTTATTTTTTTTATTTATGGAATAATTGTTTTTACACGATTCCGCCAATATCACGTCGGTGACGTAAAGAGACAACAAAATGTCATTTGTTTAGAAGAATACCTCTTATCGTCCAATTATTCGCAAGTATTGACACGATTGATTAAACTACTTAAAAATCGGCTTTATTAATAGACGTGATTTGGAAAATGGGTTCAACGAATAAAACGCTGCGATATAGTCACTACTTTTGTTACGTGAATTGGGCTACTGGACTTTGTGAGGTTTCCGAAAATAACTAAATTATTATTAAATTAAATTATTATTATAATTAAATTATTAACTAATTATTAGTTAACTGTTATTGTTATTTAATTATTCATTTTACGATTACGTTATTACATAATAAAAATTAAAAAGTGATGATAAATACTTACAAAATGTAAAATAGGATGGCAATGAGAAATCACAATGGTGTAGGATGTAGCACCTCTGATGTGCAAGAAATAAAAATTGTTATAAGCAACTTACAAAAAGAAGTGAAATCCCACCAATACATTTTAATGTAAAGTGTTGCCAAGCCAAGACCCTATGATACTATATATATCGCACTGTCAAAAACTTATCAGATCTCGTAGAATCAAGATTCTGACTCTACATGCCTTAACCCTACAAGTTCTTACTTCACAAACGTTACACCTTATTCAAAATATGTGACTGCCATTTCCTTTTGCAAAAAATAACTATGGTATAACAGAACAGTAATTAATGGTGAATGATTCTTTTCTTATGTCCATTTTTCTTACAGTGAAGACCAGATTACTAAGCGCGAACCAGTTAAGGTGCTGACCTTGCGTCCTATAAATTAAGTGTTTTTAAGTAATTTATTTAAATATTTCGGTTAAAATTTACAACTTATTGTTATTGTTTAATTTCTAACAATTATTTAAGCATTTATTATGTTTTTATCAATATTGTAAATGAAAATTATATAATAAATCTATTTTCATCTGTCATCTGTCTTCTTAATATTAATAGAGACCTCTATCGACAACTTTATGAACTGTATGCGCTTGTACCTTGTGCTTTGTTTTACAAAAGCATCAAACTAAAAGCTGTGTAGAACTTTGGAAAAGTATTGAGCTTTTTCCCTAGATGACGCTACAATAAAAAAGTAAGTTTTTTTATTTCTGTACTATTGGATTGTTTTAACGTCAGCTTTTAAAAATAAAATAAAATAGACAAAATAATTATAGTAGATGAAATTAATTTCTATTTAACGAACTATTGGAAATGATTGGCTTCTTTTAATGTAATTAGATGAGTTTATACTTATTTATAAAATATTATCATTTTTAATGAAAAATATATGTAATATGTTTAGCATCGTAAATGCAAAATTTATGAGAGAATATAATATACTATTACTTGTAATATGATCATCCTTTACTTTTTATTTGATCTTTCATGTAGACATAATAATGTCTTAAAAGCTCTCAATAAGTAATTCTAAGTAAAATGCAAAGAAAGCAGTTAGTTACTTTTTTATTATACTTAAATATTTAATCTATAGTATTACTACCACACTTCAAGGAACTCATAACATGGTAGCAGTATATAACTTTTTTTAGTTTATTTCATTTAATAATTATTATGTAAACTACAAAAGCAGTCATTAAAATAGAAAAGAACATCTCTGGTTATTTTATAATGTTTAAAATTGGAAAAATTCTTAATAAGGAATGGCTATGGGGAAACAGTGACTATGCAAAAAGGTCTACTTACTTTTGTGCGGACGTATCACGCATGCCTATTCAAAGGGGCGTCTGTGAGCCCACATTTACCCGATAGTACCGTGAGATGACCATAACCATCGCGCGCTCCGTGAGTCCGAACGGCCAGTGTGTGAGCTTTTTTACTTTTTCGTGCGCCGAATCAAATGAGTCGAGTTCTTCCGGTGAGTCTTTCAATTATGAATTTAATCAATTTTCGAATTAACGGCTTCGAGTATGACATAACCTAAGTGATTGAATTATTTTGTCTATTAAGAACGTTCTGTTGTAGATTATATATTTTTGTCGTTGATATATTTCAATATTTAACTTTTTTCTTTTTTTTTTAATAGACATACTTGATATGTTATTGAAGGGTTGTTGTAGATATGTATTTATTTATTTTTCCTGTATTGTTAAACTTTTTTTATTATATTGTGATATAATTTGAATATTAAGAAGTATCTTCTTTAGAATCACAGTCAAAAATAATTTGAATATAAGAAAAATAAACAGAAAACGCCTGAAGATTAATATATACAAAGCTATTAACATAGACACGTATGTCAAATACATATGTGTATATTCATACCAAAAAATTCCATGCTTATGATATAGATAGTTTATCTATAGAAGATTATAAACGTATTAGTTTTGGATATATCGCAATATTATGAGTACGTTTACTAATAATATTGCCAAATAAAATGACTCTCGGAGAACATTGACTCAAATTTTATCCTTGCTGCTTTTAAAAAATAAGTAAAGAAAAAGCGGATTATATTCTTATTTTTTTCTTGATAAATAATACCTTCTTGTCACTGCAACCAGTGAGTATTTTTATTTAAATACAGTATATGTTAGGTGTAAAAACTTTTTATAAAAAGTAGAATAGACTTCAAACTTTAAAAGTGATTAATAATACTTATCTCAAAAGCACGAAAATGCTGTTGAAAGCGAGCGGAGGTTTACTGTAGTTTATTAATTAAATGATAGACGCCCGATTTAAATTGCATTTTCTTGAATCTTGTTGCTTTTGGGATAAGTATTATTAATCACTGTTCTACAGCGTGAAGTTGGTCCTAATATTTGTGTAAATAGTTTTTATTTCATGCTTTTTAGTAATATTGATATTTTGTATATTATAGGTAATATTAAAAATGTTAAATATCTTTGTTAATAAAAATAACATAGTGAAAAATGAGAATAGAAGATTTTGTTTATGTGATCTATTTTAAAGAGGAAAGCTTTGAATGCTTGTTTGTTTGCATTGGATAGGCGCCGAAAGTATTGGACTGATTTATACAAGTCTTTCATCTACGGGAAGCTACATTAGACGTGGCAGACCTAGGCTATAATGTACACAGGCGAAGTCGTGTGGAACAGCTAGTTTGATAGAAATTGGTTCACAATTCAAGAAGAAATCGATGAATATAGCTACTCCTATATACTTACCTACTATCTATGACTTTCATAAAAAAATATAAATCAATACATTCTCCTTGACAATAGAAAATCATCCTTTCGGATTTTGAATGGTTTTTTTATTAAGATTTTTTGTTTGTTTTTTAGCTGAAATGGGTCATGTCATCTTAATATTTAGGTGATATCCGTTGTAAAGCGTACTTTCTTGGTTATGAAAGGAAAACTACTTTTTGATTTCGATAAAATTAAGCTGT